GAATAAAATAAAAAAGATTAATGAATAAATTACTATAAAGTGAATAAAAGTTAATTGAAATATTATATTTGATATTAATTTAATACATTGAACTAATGAATTATTTCATTGATAACCATATAATAATTCATTAGAAATATCAATTCTCTATTTTATATTTAATTTCCATATAATTTATTATTCAAATACATTCATCAAATTCATAACCAATGATTTAATTTCATTTATTGATAGAATTTTCATCTTATTTAATAAAATGAATGAATAAAAGAATAATGAAAGAAGAAAATAATTATAATGAACATATAACAATAACACATAATGAAATGATTTACATTAATATAAAATAGAAGAAATTAACAAGAAAGAATATAAAATAAACATATAATAAAAAGAAAGATGAAAAGAATAATAAATATAAACAGAAAAGAAATTGAAATAAATAAAAATAAATAAAAGATAAGTAGAAAACAAATATGAATAAAATCAAGAATAATAACATAAAATATATAAAAACTAATTTGTAAAAATGAGAATACATCATTCATTTTATTTTAAATTGTATTAACAATGATATCATTATATTTATGAACATAATGAATGAATAAAATAAAGAAAAGTGAGAGTAATATAAGAAATAAAAAAAGATATAAAGAAAATAGAAATAATAGATAGTAATGAAAATATTTATAACGAGAAATGAATAATTCATAATGTTAAATATAAATAATTTATTATACAAATTAATTTAAGATAATTTCATTAGATTAAGTGTTTTAATGAATTTAAAATAATCAGTAAGTAAACATGAATATAAATATAATTTTAATAAAAGATTTATAATAAGTTGAGATAAATTAGAAGATAAACAATCAGTAGAAATAACAAGAGAAGAATCAAGAAAGAATTAAATTTAATCAAATATGATTTAAAATAATTTGTATTTCATGGTATTGACAATTAAATAAATTAATTTATTTACTATTCTTTATTTCTAATGAACTAAAGTATTTTCAATTATTTTCAATTGAAATCTTTTATTTAATTTGTTATTTGTATTTGAATTTAAAATTAATGATTATTGGAATTGGTTATTGTTTACATTGTTATTTTAAGAAGAATACATCAATATCATTATAATCATGCTTCATTTTCTTTAATATCAACAACTATCAGTAGAATCAATTTAATTATTGATATTATTTCATATTCAACTTTAAACTATCATTAATAAATAATGTTTCATCATATTAAACAACAACCATTTGAACCAAATAACATTCTTCAATATTCAATCATACATTTCTTATTAAATAACAATCAACACAAATCATTATAATATTGAGTGATGAATATATTACTAAATATATTGTTGTTATCAGATGATAATTGGTGATTTAAATTCTGATTTCATTTTAATGATAGTGTGTAGTGTCTCTGATATAAATCCTTCAAATAAAATATAAAAAATAAAAATAAAATCAAAAAATAATCTTAAAAATATTTTAAGTTCAAATTAAATGAAGGAATGAGAATAAGGTATAATGAAATAATGATAACATCAATGTATTTTAATGATTTTAATGATTTTATTAATTTAGAAATAGGAGTTAAAAGATTTCAAGGAAATATTGAACGATTTCATTTTAATCCAATTCCATTAAATGAATATTCAAGAAAATTATTTCCTAACATTGAAACATTTCATATTTATAATAAATATAATGAAATATTTAAAGATGGAAAAATATTTAAATATGTAATATGGTATGATATTAGTTATTCAATATATTTAAAAGAAAAAGGAAAATGTAAAAACATAGAATATATACAAAATCAGATTGAAATAGATATTGGAATACAATACCAATAGAAGTTAAATCAATTGGAGATGAATATTTTATGTTTTGTTATGGTATGAAAGAAATTAATATACAATCACTAATTAGTAAAATATAAAACAGACATTTTTATGAATGTTCATCATTAAAATTAATTAATAAGAAA